TCCCAAAGGCGCGGGATTACAGGCTGAGCCACCGAGCCTGGCTAATTTTTTTATTTTTTGTAGAGACAGGTCTCACTATGTTGCCCAGTCTGGTCTCGAACTCCTGGGCTCAAGCAATCCTCCCATCTTGGCCTCCCAAAGAGGTGGGATTATAGGCATGAGCCACCATGCCTAGCCCCATCTGCTTGTATTTTCATCCAGATCTGTGACTGCAGACCCCGCAGACCCAGTGAGAGATGAGTGTCCTCTTCTGACAGTCTCCCAGGTCCAGAGGCTGTGAGTCTCCCTTCAACCTTTGAGCCCCTCCACCATCTGAATATGCCAATCCCTGACACCGAGCTTGAGAATTCAACAGTGGCTGTCTGTCCTGGAGATACTTAGACTGACAGCTCAGATGAGGGTAGTACCATTCCCAAAATGCTCCTGGTTGCTCCAACCCCATTCACGGATGATCTCAGACACAACCCGAGGGAGGAGGCTGGTGGGTGGAACTGGGACCCTCTGGGAAGGCAGCTGGGGTACAGGCCACAGACCCTGCCCTTTGGCAAAGGGAGGGAACACGGCCTTCAGGAGGAGAGTCACCAATGAATGTGAAAAATCCCCATCTCAGCACTTCTTAGAGAACTGACAAGTCCTGTAAAACACGGAAACCTCACTGCTTCTTTTCAATAGAGCTCTCCAGAGTGAAGATAGAAAGAGCGGGCTTTGGAGGACTTGGTTTGAGTCCCAGTGATGGAATCTCTGATCTCCTTGGTAAAACGGGGAGCATGTCCCCTGCACTGCCATTGGGAAGAATCAGTGACATGGAGGCCAGAGAGTCCCTAGCACAGTGCGTGGCATATAATGAGTATCAGTAAGCAACAGTCTTAAACATCATTCTTGGCTGGAGAGCCCAGTGGCTGCAGCTGACACCATTCTCCTCTGCCACCTCCCAGGGCCCAGCACAGATGAGTCACTCTAGATGTACACTGGCTATCAGAAACAGAATGGGAGCCACATTGATCAATGAAAAGGTACAAAGTAACTTGATAGCACATTTCATTTAACCCAATATATAAAAATATTATTTCGCCTGGATGCAGTGGCTCAAGCCTATAATCCCAGCACTTTGGGAGGCTGAGGTGAGAGGATTGCCTGAGCCTGCAGGTTCGAGACCAGCCCGGGCAACATGGCGAGACCTCATCTCTACAATAAATCAAAAAATTAGCTGGGCGTGGTAGCGCATGCCTGTAGTTCTGGCTACTTAGAAGGCTGAGGCGGAAGGATCACCTGAGCCTAGCAGGTCATGGCTGCAGTGGCCAGGAACGTACTACTGCACTCCAGCCTGGGCGACAAAGTGAGACTCCAACCTCCCCCCACAAATAAGTATTTCAATATGTAATCAATGGGAATATTATTATGAGATATTTTATATTTTATCTATCTATCTGTCTATCATCACCTATTTTTAAGTCAGTGTCTCACTCTGTCACCCAGGCTAAAGTGCAGTGGCATGGTCAAAGCTCACTACAGCATCCACCTTCTGGGTTCAGGCAATCCTTCCGCCTCAGCCTCCTGGGTAGCTGGGACTACAGATGCGCCTGGTTCATTTTCCTGTTTCTTGTAGAGATGAGGCCTCCATATGTTGCCCAGGCTGGTCTCCAACTACTGGGCTCAAGCTATCCTCCTCCCTCGGCCTCCCAAAGTGCTGGGATTACAGGCATGAGCCATGGGGTCTGGCCCACATTCTTTTAAAAATATATCAAGTCTTCAAAATTGGTGTGTTCTTATACGTATAGGACATCTAAATTTGATCCAGCCACTCTTCAGTGCTCAGTAGCTATTGTGGTCACATTGGACACACTGGCACCCATTGGGAACCACGGAACAGCACAGTGCTGGGCGGGCCCTTTCTTGTTTCTGCCCGGATGTGGGCAGAAGGGATCTGGGCCTATGTTTGAGGTAAAAGAACTCCCTCCCCAGGGGTAACAACCTTTACTGCAGTACTCCCCTGCCAGGTTTGAAGAGACCAGAAAGAAAGGTAAATTACCCAGAAAATAAATGGTTTATTTTTCTTTATATTCATAGCAGATTATACATAACCATCCAGAACCTTGCCTCTCTTGACAGAAGCATATTCTTTAACTGCACCAAAAAAAAAGAAAGAAAGAAAGAAAGAAAGAAAGAAAGAAAGAAAGAAAGAAAGAAAGAAAGAAAGAAAGAAACTCCAAGCACCCTGGCTTTGATAAGGGGTCAGCAAGACTAAGATAATCAGGTCCCAAATGTGACCTGCAAAAAGGAGTTTGGGTTACCTGGAGATTCCCTGCCCAGAAAGCAAGTGCTGGAGGACTGTGGTGATGAGGTCGCCCCATCGCACAGACCTCTCGACTCATGTGCACTCAGAGCTGAGCACATGAACTTGGGCATACGACATAGTGGTTAAAGCTTGAAGAAAAAAGTCCAAGAACAGAAACTGATATAGTCATCTTTATAAAAATTTATTTTATACATATATATTTTTTATAGAGATAGGGTCTTGCAATGTTGCCCAGGCTGGTCTAGAACTCCTGGCCTCAAGCAATCCTCCCACCTTGGCCTCCGAAAGTGCTGGGATTATAGGAGTGAGCCACCATGCCCAGCCCCTCATGACAGCATATTGAAGAAATACTTTATCCTCTGCCTCTTGTTGGTGTCAACATAAGAAAAGACCTGAGATTTTAAAAACAATGGAACTCTGAAATATGAATCAAAAACCCAAACAAAACCAAAACCAACCTTGCTAGAGATCCTCTTAAAAAGGGTCTAAAACTTGTCAGCAAAAGTTTTTGAGGTCAGTCCAGCGATACGGGACTGGGCTTGATAACTACGTGGTTCTTTCCAGTCACTGGAACCTCCATTTGTTTATTTATTTTTTATTTTTTTATTTTTTGAGTTGGAGTCTCACTCTGTCGCCCAGACTGGAATGCAGTGGCCGCTCCCGGCCACCACAATCTCGCCTGCTGGGCTCCAGCGATCCCTCCGCCTCAGCCTTCCAAGTAGCTGGAATTACAGGCATGCGCTACCACGCCCGGCTGATTTTTTGATTTATTGTAGAGATGAGGTCTCGCTGCCCAGGCGGGTCTCGAACCCGTGGGCTCAGGCAATCCACTCACCTCAGCCTCCCAAAGGCGCGGGATTACAGGCTGAGCCACCGAGCCCGGCTAATTTTTTTTTTTAATTTACTGTAGAGATGAGGTCTCACCAAGTTGCCCGGGAGGGTCTCGAACCTGCGGGCTCAGGCAATCCACTCACCTCAGCCTCCCAAAGCACAGAATTATAGGCTGAGCCACCGAGCCCGGCTGAACCTCCATTTGTTTAAATTGCACTTGGAAAGACAGGCATAAGATGACATTTGGACAGATACCACTTTCTGTGAGTAGAAAAGAACTGATTTTAGCTGTGTAGAGAGAATTTTGTGGGGGGAATGCATAATGACAATTCTAAACCCAGATTTTCTGTCTGATCTCCCGTCTACAGAAAGTTTGATGATCAAAAGCAAGTTGAAAACCATGTATGTGTTAAGGTCACTCTCAACAGTTTTACCTTAAATGACAAGGAAAAGACAAGGAAATGAATTTAAGGTACTCAAGCCCCAAATATACGATTCCATTCCTATTTGCTTCATTTTCTTTTTTCCTTCTTAATCAGTTGGAGAAAACACTAGAAACAACAGTCATGGACTACGCTGACCTCATTCTTCATGGGGCCGAGACTGGACAAGGTGCATTTCCCAGATGCTGAAGGGAGGGATCCAACAAGGACGTGGGCATCCAACCCTACAGGGCCTGGCTTCCTGCTTGGGGAGGTCACCTGGAAGTGATCAAAATTCTCTGACACCTGCCAAAGTAGTAAGATATTTGAAAAACCTATTATGAACAGAAATATTAAGGGTTAGTCATTATTTTCCTAAATCTTCTCAGTGGTTTAAGGTCAAATGTCTATTTCAGGTATCCATTTCTTTTGAATGCTATAGAGGCAAGATATAGGGTTTTAATATAATTATCAATCTAGCCTGAAAAATATACTTCAGTGTCCGATGATTTGAAACTTCCTCTGAGATATCAGGGAATTAAATGAATTAAAAGATTTAAAGAATATAACTATAGAAGTGTGAGTATACATATGTTTCATATGTTTGCTTCTTCTAACCTGCTTCTCGACCCAATTCTGCTGGTGATCATTAACATAACAGTGGGCAAAAAGGACGTGCAAAATTCAACACAGCACACATCCTGACATGTTTCCAAAAACCAAGAGAAATTGAGAAGCGGGAAATAAATAGCAACATCAACCACAAAAAGACCATCACCCACTCTAGAGTTTCACATGTCCTTGCTGGCCCAGAATTCCCACTCAGTCCCGTTCCTGCCCCAAATGGATGCCCTCCTGAGTACTTTGTGCACTTGTACACAGGTCAGGGTAGGCTCCAGGCCAGCCAGCATGACAGCAAGGAAGGGATATCCCCAGAGGAGACTCCAAAGACAGAAAAACACAAAAGGAAACAAAAATACAAAAAAATCTCCCCACAAAAATGATAACTATATGAAGTCACACATTTGTTAATTAGCTAGATTTAACTATCCCACATGTATATGCATTTCAAAACATCATGTTGTACATGATAAATACATACCATTTTATCTTTCAATGTAAAACAATAACAAAAACAAAATACCCCGGGTCCACTACACCAGCCTGAAAGCAGTATTTGATGGAGGGCATCTTGCTTCCAGAAGCCTGCAGGTCAGTTCAAGGGAGCCGAGCCAGCCCAGTGAAACCCTGTTATTTCCTGTTTTTGAAGGACGGCGGAGAGAGGTTCTCAGAGGGGAAGACATAACATGAACCACTCCTCTGCAGCAGCCCGGACACCCTGGAAAGAGTTCTCCTTGAAGCCATGCGAAGCAGAGAGGCCTTCACATCATGGACCACCACCATGTGCACCTGGGTTGAAGCGGGAACAGGTCGATGGTGCTGCCCACCTGGTCTCACTGTTCTTGACCCCTCTTCGTGACATCTGGCCCTACGAGGCCAGGGACCTGTGCTCTCCACGGCAACCTGTGAGTCTCCTTCTCTTGCCCGTCTTCTTCAGGACCCCTTTCGTTCCGAGAGAACCAGCAAGGCTTCTCCGAGTCCACCGAGCAGGAGGCTGCAAACGACAGCATGGGATCAGCTCTCTGCCCAGTGGGGCTGATGGGGCTGCCTGGCACCCACATACAACAGCACAGAGAATGCCTCCCCTCATTCTACAACTGTGACTCTCTTACCAGCCCAGACTGCCATGCTTCCAGGTCAAGCCGGGGAACCACCCCATCATCACTCTGGCCCACCCTCAGGTATACCTGGGAGGCAAGTGGGTGGGGAGGCAGGCTTGATACCTTCCCCCAGGAAGGAAGGTGATGACAGTCCCGCGCACCCCGACCAGGTGGGGGTGGCAGGCATGGATAAATGCTCTCTGGCAGAAACACAGAGAGCCCTCTGCTGCTCTTTGCTAAAGAGGGTTGGTGGGTATGAGATCATGCAGGTATCCATCATCTTAAAGTTATTAAGGTGACATTCTCAGCATCTTTTTACTGCATTTAGACCGAGGAACATTTAAAGGTGAAAATACAAACAGAGAGTCATGAATTTCCCACCAGCACAGAAAGAAATATGGTCAGTGGTGGGATCTAGAGACAGTGAGAAAAGAAGAGCTGAATATTTTAACACGCCTGAAATGTAACACATGCAAAGGTCTATCCACGTTCTATTTCAGACTTCTCCGGAGACGGTCTGGTGTCTATCTCAATGCCCTGTCATTCTTCTGGGGTCTGGGCGGGGCCCTCACTAAAGGATCATGATGATGGGTCCTAGATGGGGATACGCCCTTATCCAGAGGTGCCAACAACCCTTTCAATCTGATCCTTTTCTTTCTCTCTCTCCCATCCACCCCTGACACCCCAATCCTTCGCCTGCACATTCACAACACATCTACATCCGGGCCATGGTGCCTATATGTTTCTAACATGTCTGGGGTGCTGAACATATGAAACACACATAGGCTCTTCATGTTACATTCCCAGTGAAAAATGTCCCCTCTGTGAGCGACCTTAACATACAAGTAACTTGTACCACTTTTCACTTTCAGTAAAAGAACGAAGCAACTACGTGTGAGAACATAAAAACAATTCACATTAGAACCAGGCAGACCTGTATTCAAGTTTTGGCCCAGGCATTTATTAGCAAGGTGATCTGGTGCGTGTTATTTGGCCTCAGTTTCTTCATCTGTACCACAGGAGATGTGAGGCTGAGAAATAATATTCCAGAAGGAAGCCACCCCTGTGTTTGGCCTCTAATGGACAATCAATAAAATACGAGTGTTCTCCAGCTGCCTGCTCTCCCAGAGCAGCTGTCCACTCCCTGGCAGTCCTCACTGGCCACCCAGCCTCTGCCTGAAGACGCCTAGTGAGGGCTCATCCTGTTGAGTGAGGCAACCCCGCCTCACCCATGAGCAGCTTACATCACTGGACTAACGCACATCCCCATGGGCATTTCACTTATGGAGGCCATCATGGTTGGCTGGGGACTGACCCAACTAGCCCCTCCTCACACTGACCCTACAGTGGCCACTTAGGACCTCACTGCAAGACCAAGTTCTGCTTTCTAGAACAAAGAGAACAAATCTACTCCATCAACCTAGAGCCTGGGGAAATCCCCCCAACCACCTCCATCTCCTCTTTCTGGTGACTAAAAGTCTCTGGGCAGAGGCAGTGGGAAACACTTGGTCAAGGAGCCACTCACTGAGTTGGGTGGTCGATGGGAGGATGGACCCCGGCCAGCTCACAGCTGGGATGGCGATGAGAGGGGGGCGAGGACGATAAACGCCTAGTATCTTAAGCTCCAAGTTATGCACTGTTCTCTTTCCTACAAAAATCATATTATATTATTAACAGTGCTACTAAACCGGTCAATTCTATTTAACTCATAACAACATAGCTGGAATTAGTGTCCATGTTATGAACCAAATAAATTCCCGAGGACTTTTCTGGATCTGTAATCATCAGTTATAGGGTTGCTTCTGTGAGAAACTGTGGTCCAACTTTCAAAACACCATATTTGGAATCATGGCCCCTCTGTGAAGTCCAGAGTCTGTTCATCCCATGTCTAGTCAGGACCCCAGGAGCTAAAGGGCTCTGTCGCCTCTTCCCTTTGGGAAAAGCCACGGCTGTGGAGGGGATGCCGTTTTTTTCTTACACAGGCGCACCTCTAAAGCCCTGGCTTTTCCTTTCAAGCAACTGCTGTTGCCCTCCAGACCCCTTCCAGAATGCGTCTGCCATCTTGGCAAGCCCCAGGTCAAGGCAGTCACTGCGCCCGGATGTGAGGGCTGTAGGGAGCTTTGGGTTGGGGAGGGTTTTATTTCTGCAAATGTAACCGGGGGCGCAGGCATTTTATACACTTTCCACTAATCCTCCTTAATCACCAGGGAGAGGACCGGGTAGAGGCTGGCCCCCTGCCACTTGTGCTTCCACAGCCTTAGAACAATGCTGGAGTATAATCACCTTGCCTTCAACCCTTTGGCTGAGCTATTTTATGAAACACCAATGCAGCTTAGTAAATGCTAAAATGAAAACAAACCTTGGTTCAGTTTACTGTAAAGAGAGCCAGGGAGGTGATCTTTGATGTTGTTTTCTAAACAGAAGGAGAGGCTGACACGGGTCCAGGAATTTTAATAGCATTACAACTATTTAAGTCAGAGCTTGACTGAACTGTTTGTAAATCTCGTAATCCCTGTCATTCCTGAAATGAACAAACTTCAAGTGACTAAGGCATAAATATCAGACTGCAGGGCACACACAGCCAGAGATACCCATCACTAGTGTCTCGGCCAGGGGTTTATTTTCAGTATCTCCGCAGCCCTTCTCTTTTCTCCGACGGAGGAACAAAGGCCCCATCTCAATTTGACACATATTATTGTGGTTATTTGGTTAATTCCTATTGAGCCCAGGAGCTGAAGGGCTCTGTCGCCTCTTCTCTTTAGGAAAAGTCATGACTGGGAAGGGGAAGCCATTTTTTCTGACGCAGGCGCACCTCTAAAGCCCTGGCTTTTCCTTTTAAGCAACTGCCGTTGCCCTCCAGACCCTTTCCAGAACACGTCTGCCATTTTGGCAAGCCCCTGGGCAAGCAGAGTCACTGTACCTGGATACAAGGGCTGCAGAGGACGGAGACTGCATCCTTTTCATGGCTGCGGGCCCCACACCTCATGTGAGACCCAATCAATGTTTATTCAGTGAATGACTAGATTGTTGCATTTGTTCCCTCTTCTCCCATCTATATTAAAATATTTTTGCTTTTTCCTCTCATATCTCAATGTCCCATTCCTTCAGGGTCTTGCTGAGTGAATTCATAAACTGATAAATTATGTTAACATTTGAGGCGGAGAGCAAGAGTTGTTAGATGGCCCTTCTTAGACAGCATTTTAGGGAGGAGGTTTCACATTTTTAACTCAAATGGAAGACTGGTAAATTTCAGACACTGTGATCCCGAAGGAATTTTGGAGTATGTTGGGAGAAGATTTTTCTTTTCTCTTTTTTTTTTTTTTTTGAGCCGGGGGTCTCACTCTGTCACCCAGGCCGGAGTGCAGTGGCTCAATCATGGCTCAACTCAGCCTCCATCTCCTGGACTCAGGCAATTCCCCTGCCTCAGCCTCCCAAGCAGCTGGGGCTATAGGTGCGCACCACCATGCCCTGCTAATGTTTTTATTCTTTGTAGAGATGAAGTCTCTTTATGTTGGCCAGGCTGGTCTCAAACTCCTGAACTCAAGCAATCCTCCTGCCTCAGCCTCCTAAAATGCTGGGATTGCAGGTGTGAGCCACTGCACTTGGCTGGGGGAAGTAATCTTTGCCCCTAAATTCATTCTTCCTACATGTGGGCAGTCTCCATGAAGTCCCCTCTAAGGGATAAGAGCTCCACCCGAAGACAATATCAGATCATTTTCTAGAGATCCTTGGTGTTAGTGAGGTCTGTGCTAGGATCAAGTTCAAGTGATTCTCATGGTTGATAAACTGTGATAATGGCAGGTTTGGTGAAAGACGGGCAGGGGAAAAGGTGATCACGAAATCCAAAAAAGCTGCATTTTGGTTTTCCTTTCTCTTCTCATACCTAAACTATTCCAAAGAGAAGGGCGACTCTCCTATCTACAAAGGGGCTTCAGAGGGACAGTGCCACAGCTAATTCCACTTGACAGGATACTGCTCACAGCTCAGAATCTTCCTCTTTTGTATGTGCTCGCACTCCCTTGCTGAGTTATTTTTTTTTAGTCAGAGTCTCACTCTGTCACCCAGGCTGGAGCGCAGTGGCACGTTTACAGTCACTGTAGCCTCAACCTGCTGGGTTCAGGTGATCCTTCCACTTTAGCCTTCCAAGTAGCTGGGACTACAGGTGTGAACCATCACACCCAGCTAATTTTTTGATTTATTGTTGAAATGAGGTCTTGCCATGTTGCCCAGGTTGGTCCCGAACCCGGGGGCTCAGGCAATCCTCTTGCCTCTACCTCCCAAAGTGCTGGGATTACAGCATGAGCCACTGTGCCCAGTTAGCTGAGATTTTGAAAGAGGAAATTCATATCAATATTTATCATAAAACTGCTAATTACAAAAATGAAAAATTAAATATGAACCTGGATATTTACATTAGTGGGCTTGAAGTAAATTTGTTGTTGTTGTTTGTTGGTTGGTTTATTTGTTTGAGTTGGAGTCTCACTCTATCACCCAGACTGGAGTGCAGTGGCCGCTCCCGGCCACCGCAGCCTCGACCTGTGGGCTCCGGCGATCTTTCTGCCTCAGCCTTCCAAGTAGCTGGGACTACAGGCGCGCGCTACCACGCCCGGCTAATTTTTGATTTGTTGTAGAGATGAGGTCTCGCCAAGTTGTCCAGGCGGGTCACGAACCCGCGGGCTCAGGCAATCCACTCACCTCAGCCTCCCAGAGTGCTGGGATTGCAGGCTGAGCCACCGAGCCCGGCAATAAATTGTTTTTTATAATACTTGTCTGGACAGATCAGTTGCTTTTATTTTTTTACTTTTTGACTCAGGGTCTCACTCTGTTACCCAGGCTGGAGTGTAGTGGTATGATCATGGCTTACCGCAGCCTTGGCCTCCTGGGCTCAGGCGAT